ATTGGTTATAAAATAGCGACAAATCTATCACACAGAAAAAGCGGAAGAAATTCTCATACCTTTATCGATTTTTCCTTTCATAAATTGCTGTTCATTTTGGTTTTCAATCTGAAAGTTTAAACAAATAAAATTATGAATATTTGTAATGAAAAGATTAAAAGCTTATTAAAAAAATACTAAGTTTGAACAAGTAAAAAAATTCATAGCTTGAAAGAAAAATAAAAATGCTGCACCTCAAACTGGTTTGACTGTTGTTTTGCATGAACAAAATGTAAGAGTTGATTAAATGAATTTGTTTTTGCATATTGCAACAAATCAGAATGTCTTATAAATGATAACTTTTGTGGGATCATCCTAAAATTCGAAGTTTAAAAAAATTAAATTTTGATAAGAGTATTAACTGACTATACGATGTATGAAGCAGAAAAATGGGACGAAATGAATAAAGATCAACGATCAATCGGAAATTGAATTAAAATTCGTCCACTTTGTCGTATCGATTAATTCCATTTCATAAAATATGATGAAGATTGGTTTGAAATGTATCACTATTTGTACCATTGGTACCATTCAATATCTATTTGTACCATTGATGGTATCAAATATGGTAACACTAATTTTATTATTCAGTATACCAGATAGCATTTAACTTATGTATTATTTAACCATTGAAAACTCCTCAATAATTAAAATTTGATAGCAGATAATAATTAAAAATTTAGCAAAAAAAATTTCCCTAATTGCTGAAATTTATATGTTTGTAAAAATGTGATATATTATGAGTCAAAGAAAGTTTTTATCAATTTTTGATTAAATTTTTTTAGCTAAAAATTTAGCATAAGCTAATAAATATTTTGTTTCTTTCCATGATTTTCAATATAATTTAATTCGAGAAATTTAAAATGGTATTATTGCATGAAGAATCCGATTACATAGCAAATTATTGAAGATTTGAAATGTTTATACTTTAGATAAACAAATATACATTTATGCATGCATTATGTGTTAAATTTAACTTTAACCATTTTTAATATTTAATGTTTTCTTTTTTTAAGTGTAATAAAAATGGTAAATATAAAGCAAAACAAAGGATGAACAATATAAAACATTTTGTTATTCTGCAATTCAACGAAAGCTCGAAATAAATGACATAGTAATTAAGTGAAATTGTTAGCATTTTTTAATTTTTAAAATAATTTCGTTAAAAAAAGCAAAAGAAACAGAAAAAATTAAAAAATTTATCAAAAAGAAAAATGCAAAAAATATCTATAATCAACCTGATATTATCATCAAATATTGATGATAAAGTAATATAAGTTAAAATTCTAAATTTGTTTTTTTTTTTTAAAAAAATGTATATATGTATAAATTAGCTGTTGATTGATTGATAAAGTTAAATTGATTGATAAAGTTGCAGAACTTTATCAATCAATTTAAGATCTAAGATCATGATATTGTATTTTTACAATTTCATTTGTCCACTGCATTAATTAATTGAAAATCATTAATGCTGTAAATTCAGCATTCGAAATTCAAATTTAAAAAAAAAAAAAACGAAAAAATCAAGCAAATAACAATAATTTTACATATCTTTTGTTTGTATTATTTGTTTTGAAATTTTTTCTTTAAAATTTCACAAATTTCCGGCTTCAATAATTTCTTTCTTTTTGATTTAAAAAAGTATAAAAGTAAAAATGTCCAAATAAGTGAACAATAAACGGAACATAAAGCAATAAATGAAGTGCGGAGATTCCGTTTGTTTTCACAAATTTTAATAAATCTGAAAAACTTGAAAAATTTGTTATATTTACAAATATGTTATAAAATTTGCGTTTTTTGCTAGAGCTAATGAAATGCTAGAAATTTAATTCCAAATTTTTTGATATTTTAAAACTTCTAACAAAATTTAGAAATATCGGCAGGCTAAAATTATCTCACACAATCATTTTGAATCATTTTAATGATAAATCCTATGAAATGGTAGTAAAATTAGCCAAACATTTATTTCAATTTTTAGGCAATATCGATATTAAGTACCATTCCAATGTCATCAATACATTTAGCTAATTAATATATTGTAAATTTAATCATTTTAATAGGACAATGAGCAAAAGTAAATGAAAAAATAAGACTGCAAAATAAGTCGGAAGCAAATTGTAGTTTTAATTTATCAGTTTCTTTTTAAAATAAATTTTTGATTATTAAATTTTTTTTTTTCGAAATGTTGAACCTACTTTTAAAATACATTCTTTATTACCAGAAGAAATTTATTCATTAAACTGAACTTACGAAAAAGAGAAATGAAATTTATAATTTTGTTAATATTTATCAATCACAAATTCCATTTTCCATTTTTTATAAGTTTATTTATTTATTTTTTTCTTTATTTTCTTAGCATTTTAGAAAAAAAAAGGGTTTACATGCAAAGTTTATATCATTTTAGAAATTCTGGCAATTTCAGAAAGATAAAAATATGAAATCATTTCAGTGCTTTTTTTTTTTCAATTATTTTTAATTATTTTAAGTTTCATTATGACATTCATTTATTATTTCACTATTTTTTTTTTTTTGTATACCGATGTGAACTTTACTTATAAATTCTTTTTTTTTTGCTTGGATTTGATTGGCATTTAGGTTTAATTACTAGGTTACATCAAAGTTTTTTCTATATTTTGCTTTTTCCTTCTCTCCGTTTTTTTTTTTGCATTTTAAAATAGCGCCTTTAATTGGAAATTGAAATTACTATAAATTAATAATTGCAAATAATTTAATAGATTTTGAGTCTTACAGTTATTTTAATTCTTAATTACTCAATTTATTTTCGTAAAATTTGAAATTATTATTAATTAAGAAAGAAGCAGATAAATTATCAATAATTTGAGCGATTTCAAAGTTTTATTATTAATATTTACAAATATTCATCAAATCATAACATCATTTGATGATAACTAAAAATATTATAACATTAATTGTGCTTTTTTTTCAAGTAAAACTATTTGATGTGTTATGATACTGAAAATTTAAAAATACGATGATATATATCATTTGTTATATATTGTCTATTATCATCAGCATATCACTTTATCACATATCTTATCACATTGTGTGGTAAGATAATTTTCACACACAATCTTTTTTTTAATACTTCTTTTATATATTTTTTAAATTTCTTGCTTTTTATTATGAATTTTTAAGTTTCATACTTTTCATTTATTTTTCAAATATTTCAACTTTTGTTATATGCAAAACTTCATGTTCTTTCCTTTAGATTCTGTCTTATGACAAACAAAAAAAAAAGACATTTAATTATGGTGTTTTTGTAACATAAAAAAGAATTAGAATTTCATAGATCGAATTTTTACTTTTGAAATTCCTCTTCATCTTACACTATGTTAGACTAATCATTAGTAAATTTTGAAGATATCAATTTGAAAAAAAAGAAATAAAAATAAGAAATTGCCACCGAAAAGATATTTATTATGCAAATGCAATGTCATAATATATTTATGTATATGCTTTTATATTATTTTTTTATTTTTTGTTTATATATATTTGTTTATAATACTTTTGAATTGTTTTATTTTTAGTGAGATGTTTGTGTTATTGATGTTATCAGTAGACGGATATTGATTTGATATAAAATGATAGGATAATGAGATGCATTAATAAGGGATGGATTTTAGAATCTAAGGGCTACTCTGGTCGGTTGCTTCAATTTTATGGGCAATTGGTCTAACAGTTGTAATGAGAAATGGAAAGAGAGGAAAGGTAATGGTCAAATGAAGAAAGCCTTTATAGGCTGCTATCATCAATTTGAACATCAATTATTGATTTACATTTTCTATTCTATATATACCAGTTTAGGGTTAAGAATAGTTGGTAGTGTTAAAAGAAGGAAAAATATTTCAGGCATAGGTCAAATAATTTGGAAAAGAAGAAATGAATGAAAAGGTCAAGTTGCTGACCAACAGACAGTGAAAAAAGCAAAAAAAAAACATTATCATATTAGAGAAATAAAGGAATGGTCACTTTTAGCAACGATGACCTTCCACATATTGACCATGCAGGTAAAAACATTATTCTAAGTTTTTTTTTTTTTTTTTGGTATGCAAAGATCGAGTTAGGGCTTTTTTTTTTCTTTTTGCTTTGTTCTTTATATTATTCTTTTCCAATTTTAAATTTTAATCTTTTTAATTTATTATTTAAATCTTTCGATTATTAATTATAAAGTGCAAAAGAGAAAAAAACAGATTTTAGGGAATAGATAATGCAAAAATTGAAGAAATATAATTGATATTAAACATACAATTAATAAATTTGATATTACTAGAGTAACTGATAAAAATGGTATTATCAGTAGATAACTGATAACTTTATTAATATTGCTTGTATGTGTTAAATTATTTCTGATTTTCTAGAGATTAATAAAGTATGAAATGAATTTCTAGGTATATATAAACCAAGCATGAGATTTATAATAAATTCTTTAATTTATTTTAATTGATAAAAAGCATATCAATATCTTTTATCATCTCTTCAAATTAACTGAACACAGTATGCTGTTATAATAAATGGCGAACGATGAAAGATAATCATTAGCATTAAACTAACAATGATAATGATTAAAGATATTCAACAACTTTTTTTTTTTCTTGCATTAAAAAAAAAAAGAAATTTTATCATTTTCATTATTATAATGATTAATCATAAGAATTTCAAAAAATTACGAATAATATTATAATGATTAATCATAAGAATTTCGTACTGTTAAAAATTACGAATAAATTGCTTTACATAGATTTTTTTTTAAATATTTTGAATTAACAATATCGTAATTATATCTATTTTTATCCGAACCGGAGTGATTAATTTAATGTAATTCCATAATAATTGCAAAAATTTTCTTATCATTGATTATCGTTTTCTTTTTTTTTTTGTTGCTATTGCTATATTAATTTATACAATTTCTTGTAATATTTTAGAATAAATTTTGTCTTTAAATGTTCCCGTGGCGTCAAGAATTAAGTCGAGAGCGACGTCTATTCGTTCTTCAGCGCATACGTCTAATTCTAATTTCTGGTCGCTGTTCATGGGCTCAAGCTATACCAACCATTGATCTTCATGCTTCACTTGTGGCTGCTGAACGACGAGCATATGATCATGCTCGAACATTTGATTCTTACGTATGTCTAATTTTTACGTTTGCTAGCGATGAAGCAAGACGTCGTCTTCAGCATCAACAACGGCAACAACAGATGCAAGAACGTGAAGTACGTGAAGTACGAAGTGATTTATCATCGGATGTTTCAGAAAATGCACAACTATAAAAGCCATCACTATTTTTTTTTTTTTTAAGCGTTTATCAACGATGAAGTATGATGTCAATTTTAAAAATTAGCAGCAACGATAAATAATAAAATAACTTTATGAGAAATTTTTGAAAGAAAAAAAGGAAAAAGAAAACACTAATTGGTATTTGAAATGATATATTGGAATATTAAAAAGTATTCAAAAGAAATAAATTTTTTCGTTGAGAAAAATTACTATAAATTTAAATTAAAACACGCAAATGATAGGTAAGAAAATTTGATTTAATTATTTATTATATTCAAATTATACAAATTAATTGTGTAAATAGTTTTCAAATTATCTGACATCTATTTATTTACTGCATACTTATCCATGTAGATGTACGAAAATATTTTTTTCATATTATCTTTTTCATAAATTCAATGCAATAATTCATTTAATTAATTCAAATTAGACCTTTTTTTTTAATGTTATTATCATTGTTTTTTTTTTTTTCTTTTTCTTTGATCAAATGTTCACTCTAACGTTGAAAATGTGTCAAAATTATTACGGTAGTTACTAAAAAATTTTCGTTTTGTGTTTCTGTCTTAGGAAATATATGTTAAATGTTACTGTTATCAACTACAAATTTTCTACATCAAATCTTCCTATTAGCTCTATCTCAGGTGCTACGTCAAATCTTATTAGCTCTACCTCAGGTACAACGTCAAATCTTCTTATTAGTTCTACCTCAGGTACAACGTCAAATCTTCTTATTAGCTCTACCTTAGGTACAACGTCAAATTTCTTATTACTTCTACCTCAGGTACAACGTCAAATCTTCTTATTAGCTTTATCTCAGGTATTACGTCAAATCTTCCTATTAGCTCTATCTCAGGTGCTACGTCAAATCTTCCTATGAACTCTATCTCAGGTACAACGTCAAATCTTCTTATTAACTCTATCTCAGGTATTACGTCAAATCTTCTTATTAGTTCTACCTCAGGTACAACGTCAAATCTTCCTATTAGCTCTATCTCAGGTGCCACGTCAAATCTTCCTATTAGCTCTATCTCAGGTACTACTCATATATTATTAGTTCTACTTCTCGCACTACGTCAAATCTTGTTATTATTTACTCTATCTCGGGTACTACGTTAGATCTTCTTATTAGCTCTACCGCAGACAATCTTAGCACTGTTCATTTCAATGTGTCAAATATTATTATAGTTGTTTAGAATTGCATTTTTGTTTTTGTTTCAACTTTGGAAACTAAATGAGGTGACATCAAGTGATATCATTTTAATAGCATTGTAGATTATCTTACTTCTGTATAAACTCATTAATTATCATGCTTCTTCAACGACAAAGCAAAAAAAAAAGAAAAGAAAAAATAAAGGTAAAAGTATAGTTGTCGTGAAGAGTATCATATTTTAAAAATACATCCACATGTATTAATATTTTATCATGTAATCCAGAAATTTCTTGCAAATAAAAATTTTCCATTTTTAAATTCTAGAGAGAAAATTCTTTTTGTTTGTGTAATTTGATCATAATTAAAACATCATACTTTTAGCAAAGTAGCAAATGGATTGTAATGAAATCTTGCTTACAATAATAAAATTCGAAATGATTTTTAAATAAAAATTTGCAGAATAAATGTACAAGTGCAGAGATAATACAATAATTTGCTTGCATAGATTTTTTAATAAAACTATCAATTTTATTTTGAATATTTCACAATCATTTATTAATATGAAATCAAAAGAAAAATTTAGTTATATTTCTTTCCAAATTAAATGGCAGTTATTTATAATGTAATTTGATGCATAGATCTCGTCCCTTTATAGCATTAATAATTAGAATTTGAACATAATATTTTAATTTTTGGACATTAGCATCGATTGATAAAATTATCAAATCAATGGAGGCTATTTTATTCTATAGAATTTATTTTCTCGCATGCAAACACACTGATATTCAATGGTTCATTTGAGAACTGAAATTTAATTTGTGGAAAATGTCTCAAAGATCTTACCCGAAATATTTGATCATACCCGAAATTTTCGATCTTACCCGAAATTTTTATTTTTAGTTAATTTGCTACCCGAAAATTTTGATCATACCCGAAATTTTTTAGTTAATTTGCATGAAATTGTAATCTGTTTCCATAAACAAAATGAATGAAATCGATAAAATTCGACAAAGATCGATAAAATCGATCGATTCTTCGATACATTTCATTCAGAATTTTAATTTAAAATATACATGTATATGTATATGAGTGGCTAAAGTACTGCTTTTCATTCTCTTTGAAGATTTCATTCCGTTCCATTTATAATAATTAATTTTGAATTTTTTCACTTAACTTTAAGTGTCACGTAAAATACGTGTAAGACAAATAATCCATAAGAATGTGCATGAGATAAATATAAATAAAAAAAAAAAAAGAAGAAATATCAATTGTAAAACTGTATTTAACAGTGATACAGCACAGTCTTATGATAACTTTTGTTGCATATCACTGATATAATTTGCTTATCAGTTGCTAAATCTGAATATGTATTAGAAATGATAAAATTTCTACCAGAAATTTTCTAAACTATTAACTTGATAGTATCTTCTGAATAAGCTACTTTAACAAAAAACTATGTTCAAAAGCAAATTGATACATAAGCAAATTAGAAAACTGGTAAAAGTAATGATAAATTAACTTATAGTCAGCAAAAGAAAATTTCGGTTATATTACGCCAATGTTTTATTCAGAATAATAAATTGTTTACTTAAGAAAAGTATTTAAATAATATTTATGAAATTTTCATGTAAATTTTTAATCAGTTACTTTGATTGATTTGAATTAATGACTGTTAAATAGTACAGTGAAATTAGTAATCATTCAAATAGTAAAATTAATAATCAATTCATTTTTTTTTTCGATAATAATTTGCAATTATAATCGGAATGTAATTATCGTATCGGCAGAAATGATAAAATAATAAAATCTTTCACTGAATTGAATACGAAGCATTAATGTATTAAAAGCAATTCGATTGCTCATAAATTTATTGTCCAGCTATTGCATTTAATTTATTTTAAATTTACTTTAATTTACTTTAATAAGGAATTTGAAAAAGAAACTCATATATTTATAATGTTATGTGTGGAAAACAACTTATTACAGTCCTTTCATGTATTCCATGCAATCATTTTAACTATTAATCTGTTTTCAACTATTAAATTTCACCAAACTATAAATTTGCATTGCTTAAAAATTTTCAAAATTTTTATTTTCAAAAATTATGTGAAAAAAATTTGATTTGTTGTATTTGTCAACAAATTATAATTAACTGAAATTAGTTCTTAAAAAATGTGATGGAAAGAAGGAAAATCATTCTCTAAGTTAATTGAATGAACAGTGAATTAATTATGAACAAAGAATTTAAGGTGAAATAAGATAAAATAATTTAAAGACAGCAGGAAGAGGAGGAAAAAAGATTGCTACAAAATTTAATTGCTGTAATTTGAGGTGTTCAATGGGAACAGCTTGGGATAGGTGTTTTCATCGTCACCCAGTCAGAGCGATGCAATGGAAATAATTATGAATCAGGGTGATGCAATTCATGTATGCTTTCGTGCATTCCTTTCTTAATTAGATGTGCTTTGTTGGTGAATTGTTTAGATATGGTTTTAGTTTTCTTTGGAGGCTTTGTTAGTTTCATTTTTCTTTTTTAATATTTTGTTTAGGATTGTATAACTCTTGAAATCTTCCTGTTTTTTTTTTTCAGTTTCTTGAAATTGAACTTTCCATTTTTAGAACAAATTGTTGAGAGGGAATTTTATGGCTTGTTGTTTCAAGCTGTCACAAAAATGTTAATATTTGTTTGATGCCTACTAGAAATTTAATAAGTTTTTGAGCTTACTAGAAATATAACAAAAATTTAATAAGTTATCATTTGCTGTGTTTTTTTTTTTTTTTTTTTTTTTTTTTTTTGTTTTTTTGACATCTCTATTTGGTTTGGAATGTATGGGCAGCATTAAATTTTTAAATGTGATTCAATAGTGATTTGCTAAATAACCTTTTGTTCCTTTCAAATTTTCTACTTAAGTTTAATTTTAACGTTTCACTGCTTATGTATTTTTTGATTTGAAAAGAGTTAAATATGAATGGAAGAGGCAAGTCGATTCCGTGAGTGTGGTTTTACTTATACATTTGTTGTTACAGATGACGTATACATTATGTATGGTTGGTCAAATGATCATACGCTGATTAATTGAATGTAAACAAAGTGGTCAATAATAGAAGTAATAGAAAAAGAAAAAGGATAAGAGAAATGAGCATGGAGAATTTGGATGTTATAACCAGTGGTAAAATGCTGACGAATCAATTGTCGGACGCTAGCAGAGATGATAGTACAAATGCATCTATTCTAGAATCCACTATCGAAAATCATGGAAAATGGGTTAGCATTATGGATGATTTGTTATCAGAGTTGAATGCCAATGATGCTTCTGCTTTTGTTCGAAACCAAACAGACAATCTAACAAATGACAAAATTTCCGCTAATGGTATTTGCAAGATTCACTGGAATAGGAAGTGAATGAGACTGATTCTTTGATTTAGCTTGAATAGGTTTAGCAACTGTGTAATATTTAAGTTTCTATTACATTTAAATAAAATTTTCAAACTACATTTGATACAGTATTATCATTGCATTAGGATGATTGCTCCAATCATCCGGAATGCTAGGGTTATCTTTTCTATTTTTTAAATAAGTTTAAATTTTATTAAACTTGGAGGTAAAAAGATTTTATCATTTTAGATTATCCAAAAAGAAAATAACCAATCTGATGCAATGAACCAAGAAAATAAAATATCAAACACAATTTGTGAAGAGGATGTTACAGCGATATCGTGCGAAATGTGCCATAATTATGAACTAAATTTAACAAAAATGCAGGTGAGATTGGTTTTTTTCAATTAATTTTTCTTACAAAAAATTGCTTGTTACTGCTATTTCATTTTCTTTAAGGGATGAAG